TGCTGGTGACCGGGGCAGGAATTGGCGAGATGGTCCTGCAGATGCTGGTTGGTTTGGTAAGTGGGGTCCTCTCGGGGTGGGAGGGGCAGCGGTTGGGGAGCACTCCCCCAAGTAGATGAGAAGATTCAGCCAACCGCCTTTAAGTCCAAGCTCTCACTTCCTGAATCCGACCAGGCTGGAGCTAGCCGTTTCCCATTTCCACGCCAGCCAGACTCAAAAGCCAGGCCTCTGGATGTGGGATGCGGAGACCTTAATGACCGAATGCATGAATCCAAAGCAAACACGGCTGTCTGGGCCTGAGGCCAGGGGGGCCCCATGAGAATGCTGTTGGCCCTCAGAGTCCAGATGGTGTGCCCTGAGTCTGGCAGTGTTGTTTATCCATCTGCCCAGGTCCATGTCCCCAATCTGTGGCCCTGCTAACCAGGACCACCGCTCACGTCCAGCGCCTGCCCTAGCTTTCCTTCAACACGCCCAGGTTACATTTGTTTCCCCGGAAATCAAATGTTAAAATCAACACTGCTTTCTTTGACTACCATACAGAGAGGCCAGGCTTTTCACAGCACAGGACCCCGAAACATAAACAAACAGAGCAGCTTTCCCTAGGTCAGTTGGCTCTTAGTAACAGCCAGCAGGGGTGTGTAGCCTAGGTTGTATCCCTCCAAAATTCCTGCCAGCTCCTGGAGCCAACTTTCTCTTCCCTCCATCCCGATGAACGCGAAGAATTGATTTTGTTGTTCTCTGCATTGAAATGCCATGTCTGGGGTCTGATTTGGTATGGTTTCTTTCTTCCTTTCTCACTCTCTCTTTTTTTGAAATCTTAGTTTCTCTATGTAGTCCTGGAACTTGCTAGGTAGACAAGGCTGACCTTGAACTCACAGAGATCCACCTGCCTCTAGCTCCCAAGTGCTGGGATTAAAGGTGTGCACCACCATACTGGTCGTGGTGTGGTTTCTTAAATTGGTGGCCTAGGAAAGCTCTATTTGCTACTTTGACATGTTCTAAATTTCCATAATAAAAAATTAAAAGATCCCCTCCCTCTCTCTCTCTCTCTCTCTCTCTCTCTCTCTCTCTCTCACACACACACACACACACACACACACCCCTTCAGCAAAGTTTCAGTTAGACCCATGGGTATAGAAACATCTCATGTGTTTGGAATTTCAGTTATCATATGGAGTTTTCCAGAAAGTTCTAGAAGATGGAACTGAAAGAGTATATGGGGTATAGACAGGTCCAACCCTGGCTTTAGAGCAGAGCTTTTGTCTTCACCAGACCTGTAACCTTGGGAAGACTTCCCCTACATTCTTGTGTCTGGTAGGATGGCCCCAACTTGACTGAGAAGCCTCCCAGGGCCCAATGCGTCCATTTTATTTTCTGGTGCACGGTCACGTGGGAATTTAATGGCCACTCTTCTGTTCCTCTCTGGCAGATCTTCCAGGCCCAGGGCAGTTACAGTTTCCTGGTCTGTGGGGTGATCTTTGGCTGCCTGGCTTTTATCTTCTACATCTCGCTCCTGTTTTTCCACAGGATACACCCTGAATTCTCATCAGGTAAGGAGAAAACTTGTTTCTGCGTAGAGGGGGGAAACAGCGGGGGCGGGGAAAGAATGTGATTTTAACAGTCAGAAGAGCTGTTCTGTCCCAAGTGAAATGCAAGGAAGTGTTTATTTTCCTACCGCTGCCCTTTCCCCTCTTCCTGCTTTCCTTGATTGTTCACACTAGAGACTGAAGGCAGCCGAGAGTGGAACAGGCTGACTCACGGCTTCCCTGTTAGCAGAGGGGCATGGACCGTGAACCTGTCTTCCTGCAGTTCCTTTCACAGCGAGTCCTGGGGCCAAAAGTCGAGAGCAGGAGAGGACAGAGCTTGCCTCCCTGGCTGGAGCTTGGCCCAGTGGCCTAACTGACCACTTCCTTGCAGTTTGAGGTTTTGACTCTTGTCCAAATTGCTTCTTCAAAAAGAAATCATTTTGGCCAAATGGCAGGGAAGAGTTCCTTTGGGACAGAGACACTCCTAAGAATAGTCTCCCTCCTGAAGACCCCAGGCCAGGGTAGTACGAAGGCTATTTTTGTAACTCCGTATGTCCCTTGCCCAGGGACATCAGCCATGCATTGTGCTGTTCTTAGCAGAAGGTGCCCAAGCAGAACCAGTGTTCTTTCTGTGAAAGCAGAATAATACACACAACACACACACACACACACACAAAAAAAAAAAAACCCTGAAGAACTACTACCCTTTCTTGCTAAGTAGCCATGTCCACTCTCCACTCTACATACTAAGCACTGAGCCAGGCATGGTAGCATATGCCTTTAATCCCAGCACTTGGGAGGCAGAGGCAGGTGGTTCTCTGTGAGTTCAAGGCCAGCCTGGTCTACAGAGTGAGTTTCAGGTCAGATGGGACTACATAGTGAGACTCTGCCTCAACAAAACAAAACAAAACAAAACAAAAACCAACAAAACTTAACTATACAGGCCCAACAGGAGAGCAGACACCCTCACCCCCAGAACTATAGAGGCCCCAGCAAGAGAGAGGACTGCCCACCCCGCAAGAACTATAGAGGCCCAGCAGGAGAGAGGCCAACACACACAAATATCCCAATAAAGACAGTGCAGAAGAAGGAGGAGGAGGAGAACAAGAGGAGGAAGGAAGAAGGAAAAAGAGGCACGCCATTCTGTCAAACATCCAGTGACTGACAGCCCCTGTGTCTCCCCCTGCCCCAGGCACTAGTCTCGCTAGCTGCCCCTATCAGCACTTCACCAGAACTTGGTCTGACTTCCCTCTGTGTGTGCCACAGAGCCCCAGAACAGCAGAGAAGCAAAAACCTAGTTCACTCTCTAGAGCGAGCTGTTGCGGAGCAAGCTGGGGCCACCCACATCTGCTACCTGTGCTGTTTATGTTTTCTTTCGTAGTCCTTACCCAAGACAAACCCCTTGGCGTGGAGAACCCTGAGAGCTACCAGAGGTGAAGACCTCAGCCTCCTGAGCGACAGGGTGACCAAACTGACACAGGAGGCCAAGGGTCACAGAGGAGGTCTCCCCTGCCACCTCTCTTTTTATCTTTTCCTTTCACACTTAGCCAAGAAGTTGGGTCCTGTTCCCTGAGTGTTCCCTGGACAAATCAAGCACCTGCCTGGCACTTTAGTGTTTTCTTCTCTGGTTCAGACTTACAGCCCACGGTAACCAGATGGGAGGGCAAAAGACAGCGCTCACACCTCCCCGTCTCATCACCCTGTGCATGGGCTACACTCTGGGCTTGAGATCACTTTTAGTTGAGGTTTAACAAAAATGCCGAAATCATAAAGCTGAATCATTGCTAGGTGTAGATATATTTAGATATATTTTAAATGAATCAAAACCCTCTGGCATGTTGAAAAGGACTTATGTGTTCTTCCCTTACCCATGGTCCAAAGTCCCTCGCATTACTCCTGCAGAAACCAAGAGGTCACTTGTGTCCTAAGACAACAAAGGAAATGCTGTATCTTGTTTGAGACCCTAGGTCAGCGACACACGGGGCTAACTCGGACCAGCTTTATACAAGCCGACTGTTAAATTTTCATTTTGAGAGCTAATCGTGTAGCCATGATTTTTAAGTAAATTAATTTGCAGCTAAATGGAGGTAATACTCAAGACACCACTTTCTAATTTTACATGGCCAATGCCCCTGAGGTCACTGTGTCTGGGACACAGAAGGGGTGGTATTTCTATGTGACAGAATGCTGCCGCTCCTCTCAGCTGCTCAGTGACAGTCCGAGGTCAGCCACGGCACAGAAATGGCAAAACCTACACATCGCGACGGTGTCCCCCCTCCCCGGGAACAGATGGTTTTACCAGCATCTCACTGCTAATAAGCAAAGTTTAATTGGTTCAGAAAGCACAAGGAGAATGAAATGGACGTCCTGTTTTTCCTTACTGACATCTACACGGTGCAGAAGCAGTGCTGAGAATTTTTAAAAAACAGCTCATTGATGTTTTGTACCTTTTATAGAGGAAGATTTTATATGGTGTCAAAGCCTTTTTTTTTTTTCATAGAAATCTAGGCCTACTGAATAATTCAAGCCATGCAGTATACAGAGAGCGGTGTCTGTCAGGAGTCCGCAGTTCTATACAGAACACAGAGGGTTAGTAAGGCAGAGAATGCAAGAATGCAGGCTCACCAGCCTGGACAAGGCTGAGCGCAAGGTTTCTGGAATCACTGGTGTGGCTGTTACAGACTTCTGGAAGGAATGAAACATTCCGTTACAGTCATGTATTTACCTGTACATTCTATGTGTGTAGACATGTGTTTATGTGAAAGCCCCAAGGGCTGTTCACACACCAGACACCAACAGAGCAGAGATCTGGATCAAGTACCAGCCTCACCTTCGAGCTGTGAGCCTGACTCCGCCCCCGCCCGGCCCCGCCCCAGGCATTACCGGTATGGTGGCGTTTCTAAAAGCACCCTACCTCACAGGAGTTCTGAGAGAATTAAGTGTGTATGGAGTATTTGCTACATGCCCAACGTGGGAACTACCTTCCGAGTGCTCAAGTTTTCACGTTTATTATAAGCCTCATGAGCAGCTTAGACGCCATTCACGTTTGGTACAAACTGTAACGCGAGGAGCAAAGGCCACTTTGAAACGCTGATGGCCTAGCAAATCCTTTTAACTCTATTTATAAATCCTTTCCGAAGCACCTGATGCTAGCCAAGTTGAAATGTGCAATCCAACTGTAGTAACTGACCTGGGCGAGGAGAAAAGCAGTTGTATTTTTTCTTGTAGTTTTTCAAGAAAACATCCTTTTTATACAGATTTAGAAAGAAAAATCACTGGTTATATCTACATTGGTGACGATTGATGTATTAACAGAGAAGATTAAACAAATCTAATACTTTCCTAAAATAAACTATTTTAAAATTAGGTGTGTGATCCATCATGAAAGGCAGGTGACCCTTTTTACAGAAGCTCGACTGGTCTAATGCTCCCTGGAGACAGGTCTCTCTTATAGGTTCACACGGTGCACACACATGCACACACCTCCTATCTGCGACACATACATGACAAGTGCGTATGTATGTATGTAAACACTGGGATTTCTATGCAAGCACTATTCTATTCTAGGCATGCACTTACCCATGAGCCACACTTCTAGCTCTCAAAACTTTTGTCATTTCAGAGTGCTATGGAGTCTCCCTGTTCCCAGATTCCTTTTGCAGACATGAGAATCTAACCCGCCAGCACACCTTGTTCCCTAGAGGAAGGCACAGTAACATAAATGAGGGTTATTATTATTATTCATATATTTATTTTTTCTTTCATATATGTTTTTTTCAAAGTGTGTTTCTTAGGATGGTACCGACTCATCTTGAATCAGGTGTTTTCAGTGCTGCGTCCTCCTGAAGGAGCATCTCTTCTGTCAGCCTTCTCTTCCGCCTGTAGGCTGACAGGACAGTGGGGCAGCCAACACCACCATTTGTGCATGGCTAAATACCAAGGTGATTTTATAGCATCCTGGGCAGTTCACATCCGTAAACTAGGAGCTGGGGCTCTGCTCCAGGCACGTTTTCTTGTGTTTCCTCTTCTCTTCTTCTGGAGAGGGATGAAGGAGATCTTTGCAAGAGGCAAGATCTAGGGAGGTTGTCTCCACTGGAAAGGGTCTTTCTGTTGAAAGCAGTCTTACATAGCCTAAGATAGACTAGATCCTGCTATGTAGTTCAGATTATCTTGAACTCTGGACTTTTCTGTATCTACACCCTGAGTGCTAGGATTACTGACATGCCTCACCACAGTCAGTTTACATGGGTGTGGGAACCAAACTCAGATTGCACGAGAGGAGAGAGGTAGGTGATCTACCAGAGGGTACCAGAGGGGTTTAGTTTCTTAGAGACTGCATTTATGAAAGAAAGAAAGAAAGAAAGAAAGAAAGAAAGAAAGAAAGAGAGAGAAAGAAAGAAAGAGAGAAAGAGAGAAAGAAAGAAAGAGAGAGAAGACTGAGCACCCACCATGGCAAAGCAGAAGCTGTTACCCAATGAAAGGAAGGAAGGAAGGAAGGAAGGAAGGAAGGAAGGAAGGGAGGGAAGACGAGCACCCACCACAGCAAAGCAGAAGCTGAAGTGCGGGTTCAGCAGTGGATGAGGAAAGTCCCTGCCTCACAAAGACTGAAGGTCAAAGCCACAGAAACCCCAGATAAATAGATAACCATGTGGATGGTGGAGTAAAGAAAAAGCAGGGAAGGCGTAGGCACGGAGATGCCTAGAGATGCTCAGGCTACCTTGCAAAGAGGACAGCATTTGTGCTACACAGGAGCAAGCCAGCTGGGTACCTGGGGATAATCCTGCCAGGCAGGGGCTACAGCAGGGGAAAGAAAGGGCTTTGAGTTGGAATATGCTTCATAGAATGTGAGAAGTTACCAGCAGGCCGGTGTGGACCAGCTGCGAAGAAGACAGACGGTGGCAAGAAACGGGATGGCATGCTAGTTGGGGCCCAGATCACACATACCAGGCTAAGAATGTTGGTTCTTCTGGGGGACATGTGGGGATCGGCAGAAGGTGACATGGCATGATTTCCGTGTTTAAAACGGTGACTTTGGTTGTCTGACGACTGCGGGGCTGAGTTGAGATCAGCTCAGGTACAGCCCAGCTAGAGAAGTGACAGTGACCGCGTAGGTAGCAGGAGTGGTGAGAGTGGATTCAGTCTGAAGGTCAAGCTGGCAGAATCTGCTGATGGGCTGGGTGTGTCTGAGGAAGGTGGCAGTCCCAGATAAGCCCCAGGTGTCTGGCCTGTGCCCGGGTATGAGCCCATTTATTTTTAAGTTTAAGTTCCATTTTATTTTTCCAAGGTGTTTTCTTCTATCTTTATGAAGCCACTTTACATGGGCTTTGGTGGAGGTCACGGTGCAGCACCAGCAGGTCTAAATCGTGGTGGGGGTGTTCGGTCCTTCCGAGCTTCCCGAGATCGAATCCTGACTACCTTGCTATGAATAGCACAGCTCATACAGTAATGCAGCTTGACATAGAGTTTGGGGAGCACATAGGCATCGAAGACACTCGCTTCGGATATGTCCCTAACGGCAGCCGCCTCTACGATGTTCTGAATGACGAACTTCTTAATGGCCTTGTCCTTGGGCACACAGCGGGCGCAGTTAGTGCACATGGCCGCGGCCCTTTTTGGCATGACCGTTGTTTCTCCTTTTCTTGGTCATCTTGGAGCCAAGTCCCCATGAGCCCATTTTGAGGCAGGCACGCAAAGGGAAAACTCCACTTAGCTTGAACTATACACGCGGCACTTACCAATGAGAGCCTGCCAACATAGAGCTGCACACCCCTCCCTAAATAAAGTACCTAGAAACACTGACCTGGAGTCTGCTAGCAATGCTTAGTAACCCCCCTTCTGTGGCCACACAGTCTGAAACATGTCTGGCTGGGAACGTGAGGCAGCCTGGACTGGTTTGGAGTACATGTAGGAAAAAGCCCTACTTACCGTCATCATACCTATCCATGAGATTAAAATCAGATGCATCATGGGAAAGGCATGTACAGTGCATGCATCCACACACGCCTGTGAAGGTCAGAAAGCAGCCTTCAGGTGCTGGTCCCTGCCTTTCCATCCTGTCTGAGAAGGGAGGGCTCTTTGCTGCTGCATAGGCCAAGCTATCGGACCCAAAACTTATAGTGGATTCTCTGGCCTTAGCTTCCCATCTCTGGGCAGAGCAGTTCTCAACCTGGGGATCACAACCCCTTTGGGGTCACCTATGACTACTGGAAAACACAATTTCTGATGGCCTTAGGAACTGGGACACTGCTCCTCTCCAGGTGGGTCAACCCTCATGCAGACACACCCACGTGTGAGTACCAGGAAACGTATCAAAGGGTTGCAGTGATAGGTTGAGAACCACTGGGGTAGAGGAAGCTAGGATTGTAAATGTGGCTTTTCTTTGTATTCCGGGGATCTGAACTGAGGTTGCCAGGCTTGTGCAGGAAGCACTGCTACCCACTGAGCCATCTCCCTGGCTCCGTATATCTAGGTGTATCTACTCCACGCTCACTTAGCTCCCCAACACACTCACTGCCTCACTTGAACTCTCTGAAGGATGCCATGGAGCTAGAAAACGCTCCGTCCAGACAGAGACCACTGGTAACAGTTCCAACACTGGAAAGCCCAGGAACACCCAAGAGCTGTTAGGTCCAGAGAGAGGTCAGCAGTTGAGGACACTTGCTCTTCCAGAGGACTCAGGTTCAATTCCCAGCACCACCTGACAACCCGCTGTCAGTTCTAACTCCTCCCAGGGGATCTGATTATCGCTTCCGGTCTCCACAGGCAGCAGGCACCTGTGTGCTACATTTATACACACACAAGCTAAACACTTCTACACATAAAAAGTGGAAATATGTATCTTTCAAGAATAGCTACCAGAAGTCAGATTAGCTGGTATGTGTGGTGGTGCAACACTCAAGAGAGAGAGAGGTTGGCAGATCTGTGAGTTTGAAGCCAGCTTGGCTTACATAATTGAGTCAGGCCAGCCAGAGTGAGGCCATGTCTTTTTAAAAACAGTTTTGCAAATGGATGGAGCTAGAAAACATCATATTGAGTGAGGTAACCCAGATACAGAAAGACAATTATCACAAGTACTCACTTGAACTCTCTGAAGGATGCCATGGAGCTAGAAACGCTCCGTTATGGTTTTTAAACATAAAGCAAAGAAAACCAGCCCACAAATCACAATCCCAGAGAACTTAGACAACAATGAGGACCCTAAGAGAGACAGACATAGATCTAATCTACAAGGGAAGTAGAAAAAGACAAGATCTCCTGAGTAAATAGGGAGCATGGGTACCTTGGGAGAGAGTTGAACGGGAGAGGAGAGGCAGGGAGGGGAGCAGAGAAAAATGTAGAGCTCAATAAAAAAAATCTATTAAAAAATTTAACCCCCCCCAAAAAAAGTTTTACACATCCGTTTATGATGTTTTATATACGTCATATAACTTATAGTGTTCAAAGCCAAGGACCAAATGAAATCACCTAGATAGTGGTTGTAGGGACTGGGAGAGTTTGAACCTTGGCAGTTCTCCCAAAACTAGAGAGTTAGATGCAGTAGAATAAAAATGAGAAACCAGGGGTAGGGACATTTCAGGGTCAAAGTGGTTTCCTGGTAGGTATGCAAAGAGCATCTCAAGGAGAGGTCATTAGAAGGACCAAGCCACCACTGGGCCAGATGAGGGCGCTTTAGTAAATGACAGCAGTGTGTTCAAATAGGTGGGATCAACACACTTCCGCTCCAGCAGCACCGCCAGCCTCTGCCAGGCACCTACACTGCTGTTGAAATGCCCACTCCTGGGCAGTCTCGCTGACACACCACTGTACTTCCGTTCAGGTGTACCCTGGTCTGTTGTAATAGGAGTGGCGGGACTGCGTCCCCAGCACCCCGGCCGCCCACATGGCTAGCTCTAGCTTATGCCCCGAAATAGTTACACGACTGTATTCTTTTAATCACTGCTTGGCCCTTTAGCTCTAGCCCTTACTGGCTAATTCTGATATACCGATCAACCCATCTCTAATAATCTGTGAGCACCGGTCTTACCGGGAAGATTCTAGCCTACGTCCATCCTGGGTTGGAGCTTCATCTCGTGTGTCTGCCCGGAAGCGGGGCATGGCGTCTCTTCTGAGGCGTCTGCTCCCGAGAGGAGAGCTGTCGAGTCTCTGAGCTTACTTCCTCTTCCTCCCAGCATTCTGTTCTGTTTACTCCACCCACCTATGTTCTAAGCTATGAGCCCAAGCAGTTTATTACTTAACCAATGAAATCAACAGATTGATATATGACACTCCCACATCACTGGTCGGCGAATCGCTCGGTAGTAACGATGAATGTGTGATCTTATGACTCTCAAGCATCGTCTCTATCGTGGTTTGAAAGAAAATGGACCCCAAAGGGGGTGGCACTGTTAGGAGGTGTGGCTTTGCTGGCAGAGGTGTGTCACTGTGGAGGTGGCCCCCAACCCATCTGTTCCATGCCAACAATCATTTTGCCATCTTCCCTTCTCACTACCTCTTCTGACCTGGGCTTTAAACACTTCCACAGAGACGTGTCAAGCAGCCGGAGAGCAGGTTTCAACAGCACCCACTGAATTCAGTCTTTACCCAGTCAGTGTGATGAAAATATCAGCGATACTGTGATGGATGTGAGGCAGGGGAAGGAATGATCAACTCATGTCATTTTGTTAAAAATATTTATTTTAAAAAAATACGTTGTCCATATCTAGTTGCACATATATCTATAAACAGATCTCTACAGCTCTGGACTTACAGTAAACACGCCAGAGTGCTTCCTCAAAGCCAGCTTCCCACAAACAAGTAAATCCCTCTGTCAGTTCTTACATAAAAGTTTTTTAAAAAATGTATCATTTTTCTCAAAATACACATGATCTTTATAGAAGTTAACAAAGCTTTTGCATAAAGCTTAGAAGCAACAGAAGTAAGGTCCCTAGCAATGCCTGCAGATGGCACCCAGTGGACCGCCATCTTGTTTTTGAACAGCAGTGCGTTAGAAAGCCCTCAAAGTGCGCATGCGTCCTTCACCCCCCTCCCTCAACTCCATGACATTTCTGTCACCCCAAGGCAGAATTCCAGACTCCACACCGGCTTCACCAGCCTGAAAACAACACCCCTTTATCTCTGCAGTTAAGTGTTACTACTCTGTAGCTGGGTGAGATGACGCAGTCTGTCCGGGTCTAAGAACCACCAGTGTTAATTTTAAGGACTGTTAGCAGTTACCATTTCAACTGCTTTTCCTGAAAAGAACAAAAAGTGATTTAATACTCTGCAGATCTCTTTAATATAAACTAAACTAAGTTAAGACATGTTACTAGTATCGCCCTGACAGTTCTTCTTTTGGGCAGGTGTTGCTTACACCCACCTAAGATCTACTTATACCAAGTGGTGACATTGAGTAATATGAGATATAGATTTCAATAAAATAAGCAAGGAGGGGTGGACACACAGGCAACAGATCCTCTAAGGAGCTGAGTGCCCTGCCAAGTCCTTTACTACCCACCCCAAACTCACACACACAGGAACCTGTCCCCACCCACCATCCTGTGCAAACACTGGTGGGTATACATTGCAATCGCTCTATGGCAGAACACATGCTTTTTACTAAATTACAGATGAACTGAATGGAAAGTAAGAGTTTGTTATTTAATGTCATTTACCTTTTAACTCACGTTCACTCCTTATACTGCAGCAACTGCCAGGTTCACTGGGACTCAACCACCTGTCACACGTCATTTAAAATAACCTGTGGTTATTTCCCATTAGTCATAAGGATCTTGTACCCCAGGTTGGCCTCGAACTCGCCACTTGACCTTGGACTCTACATTCCTAGTGCTAGGATTACAGGCTTTGCCTCTGCTCCCAGTTTATGACATAACGGGGATCAAACTTTGGGCTAGTGTGTCAGGCAGGCACTCTACCAACTGAGTTGAAGTCCCAGCTTAGGAGGTCCTCTTTACAGAGAAGTTCTAGTAGGACTCGCGGGAAATCATTAGGTTGTTCTTAATGCAGACTTAAGACAGATGTGGTAGCATGTACCTGTAGTCCCAGCTACTCAGGATGTTGACTGAAGAGACTGTTGTAACCAGACAAGCAAGACAAGACCCAGCACATAAAAACAAAATCTACTTTTTAAAAAAGTCAATTTAATTATTTGGTGAATAAAGGACTTAATTCTAATAAACTAATTTTAACCCAGAATTTTATGTTTAGACCCAAACTAATCAGTATCAAAATGAACCAAGGCTTCTTAAACAAAAAAAAAAAAAGGTGGCGTGTGTTCAATATGTGTGCAGATGCCCACGGAGGCTGTAAGAGGGTGTCAGATCCTCTAGCACGGGAGTACAGCAGTTTTGAGCCACCTGCCATGGGTGCTGAGAATCGCACTCTGCTCCTCTACACGAGCACCCAGTGCTGTGAACCACTGAACCCCCGCCTCGTCTTTTTAAATGTATTTTTAGGCAGGCTGTCACATGACTCAGGCTGCCCACGCACTCTGACCTCTAGAATCCTCTTCCTGCACCTCCCAAGCACTGCCCACAAAGATACATGAAACCACCAGAAGCAAAGGAAAGAACCTCGGCCACACTGGTAAGCAGGCCTCCAGGAACTCAAAGACCTGCTAGGTGTGCTTTTGAGCTGATCCCCGGAACGCCCGACGGGGAGGGCTGGACACGCTGTTCCATCGCACATGCCAGCAACGGCAGCAGCAACTGCTGTCACACAGAGCCCACTGGTAATACTGTCCTCAAGCAAACAACGAAATGTCTCAGAAGGGACTGTGTTCCCTACCTAACAGGAATAAACAAGGAAGGAAAGCAACAACTAGAATCCCTTGCAGCCGTATACTTTTTGAATTTAAGTGCAATCTACCAATGCAAATCTTTCAAAATCATTAAATTTCTACAAAGAACAATATTAAAAGTCTGTGAGTCATTTACATCCTAGCTGGAAGAGGCTGCCTTACGGAGCCTGGAAGAAGACACATCAGGTAATCCATTTCTCCTTCTCCAGACACACCTAGGTTCCCAAAACTAGAAATGAGAAATGAACCATAGTTCCCTGACCCTCAATGTCCTGAAGCTGAAATCAAGCAAAAATAACCATTAACTGCTTCCAGTTATTAAAAACAAAAACAGCTGGCATGATGGTGCATGCCTTTAATCCCAGCACTTCGAGGCAGAGGATTGAGGATCTATGTGAGTTCAAGGCCAGCCTGGTTCACATAGCAAGTTTCTCAGAGCTACACAGTGAGACACTGTCTCAAAAGCCAACCAACAAAAAACAACAAATAAGCAAACAGTGCTAATATAAATTCCAAGAAAGTGCCAAGTGATTTAATAGCAGTCCACAGAATTCCCACTCCTGAAACTGGCAGAGTGAATGACTCTATTGGTAGGACTCGTGGGCCAGCCCCAGGCACACCATCTCCCTCTCACCTTATCAAGAAGATTCCAGACTCTGTGGACACAGCTCACATCCCTAGAGGGATGGGAATCGGTGGACCTTACTAAGATGGGAACAAGGCAGAGCTGAGGCTATTCAGCCTGACCCCCTGGGAGGTTTCTGCTAATGCTAATATAGGGTTTAAAGGGTTCTTTATGCCAACAAGCCAGGAGTCCTCCCTCCACTTATACCCTGGACTCCTCATGAAAAACTTCCCAGACGACCTAGGAGCAAACAGACGTGCAGAGAGCTTTAGGAAAGATGTCCTTACACTTACTGATGAAGAGAAGCGTGCAGGGTAAGATGACTGTTGAGAGTAGTCTAAGATTGGGGTCTCAACACAGCGGCAACTGGTCTGTAAGGCCTATGATTCTGTGCACTAAAAACTGAACAGAACAAGGCACTGTCTTTAGAAGTGACACCTGTAGGATGGCAGTAAGGGGTTTCCATCCTAGGGGAGAAATATGCCTCTCCTGGAAAAAGATTCACATAGCCCGATCAACACGGTAGTATAAAGATGCACACAGCCAGTACCTCGGCAGGACCTAGAAATGTGCTTGGTTCCCAGGTTCATACTTCAAGGTCAAGTTAACTTCCTGAAACTTCCCTAAGTGCAGGTGTGCAGTACACTTGACCTTCAGGAGACTGCTGTGTTCCGCAGGAATTTCCTGGTGAAGCTGCCAGTTAGTTAAGGGGGGTAGGTGTTGCTAGGACGCAGCCCAGCAGGGTCACTTCTTTAGCGTGTGTGAGGGCCAGGTTCTGTCCCCAGCACCACAGCATCTATCACGCAGAGTAACTCTCCCACGAGCCACCTGCATTTCCACCTTTCACAAGGGCTAACTACAAACAGCAGCACCTAAGAAATGGCTTCCTTTTGGCAAGCTAGCCACATGTCACTTTCTGTTTCAGCAACGGCAAGGCAGCTTGAAGGCCTGCCAGCTCGAGATGGAGCACTTGCTGGACCTGCAGTCTGATGACAACTGACGTTTCCCATCTGCTGTTTATAGGTGAAGACATGACCCTGATAGTGACCAGTTCCACCGAGCACAAGACACACCATCACCCCTAAGAGCCTGCTCAGAGACGGAGCCCACGCCTGCAGTAAGTAGCTCTGATAATGTAAGAGAAGACGGGGCAGCACCACCACTGACAACAGCAGACCTAGAAAGAAAAGGAAGAAAGCGCTTCCCACAGAAGCCAGTGTCTGGGAGAGTCTGCTGGAGACAGACCATGTGTCTGTCCCTTCCCAGTGCTGTGTGTCGAAGACCCCGCCCCCACCCGATAACAGACTACAGCATCAACACTCTCAATCTTGTTGGTTTGGAAACCACTCCGAGCCTTGGGTTTCTGCTCAGGCCTGCACTTGTCTCCATACCTTCCCAAGCCAAAGAATGGCACCATGGCATGACTCCCAGTTCTCGGCACAGGCTAATGACACGTATGTAGTAAATAAGTGATAAACAGAGCAAGCCATTGAGTAAACTATTCCTTCAGATGCTTAATGTTCCAAATAAAAAGACACAACAAAAACAGCACTTTCTAATCCAGCAAGAGCTGAAGCTGGCACACACTTTAGCATAAATGTCCTAACGTAATCGTGAGGCTGCTGATAAAATACAACACAATGCCAAAGAAATCTGTAAGAAGACTATACAAATAAAAATGTCAGTCATGCGTAACACAGAGATGAAAAGGAAGAGCTGTCAGGACATGCACGGAATCCAGAAAGCATTTGGGAATGAATCCCCACGAGAAAGAATTACTGGGAAATTTGAAAAGCTATGACAAAGCTCCAGAAAATCTCAAGCTGGAATTTCTCCACATTAAAAGAAAAAAATCTGTATTGAGAACCAAATGAGTACCTGCATGTTGAGTCGATGATTTAGGAAATTGTTTGATTCTAGGTGTAGAGGCATCTGCTGGGTACAGGAAGGGCTCAGAGGCCTGGATGCTTTATAGAATTTCCTTCTTATGCTAAACCTCCATTTTGTATGTACAGTAGAGTGGGACTGTGACTTTAATAGAGTGAGATATGTATATATATTTTTTGAGAGAAATTTCTATGTTGACAAACTTCTACTGTGCCAAACAGTAGCTCACTTTCATAATCTCAGTACTTGGGATGTCCAGGCAGGAGAATTGCTGAGAGTTTGAGGTCAGCCTAGACTAAAGACTTAGACCCAGTCCCAAAAATCAAAAAAGAAAATAAACCAAAAAGAAAACCTTTTCCTAATCAAGGTGTGTGTCCAGAAGACTGCTGACTGCTCTGCACCTCCACTGAGGGCCTGCAGGGTGCTGAAGACTTCACACACAAAGCTGCCTTTCAGATGCTAAAACCACAGGCCTCAGAAAGAGTACCTGACCTCACACGGCACAAGGCCAAGGTGAACGAAATAACACTGGCAATATCAACAGCTGGCATTAAGCCATGAACACCAAGCCTCCAGTATCGGGCCAGCTACTCTGCCCCTTTTGATCTCTAGTATAGTACACATCTGAAAGGAATTTTCCAGGGTAAGAAGAAAAATCCAGTACTCTATGCAAGTTCATGGCCTTACTTTCTCCACCAAAATTTGAAAAAACAGGCCTGGTGGTGGACACTTGTGCATTTGGGATTCGGTTCACAGTCAGCCAGGGTGATAAAGAACGATCCTATCTCAAAAACAAAACAAAACAAAAAAACACAGTGAAAAAAATTATATTTTAACTGTTAAAATGTAAGGGAAAATAAACTTATATTTTAACTTGATGAAGCTTAAGGTCGGCCTTTCAAGGGCTTTTAGATTCAATTATATATTATATACTTTTTTAATCAGTGGAAATTTCTACCCTTATTCAAACACACAGACTATGGCACAGAGACTGTAACATCACAATAATACTCTAAGAAATCATTAAAAGATTATTTAAGTTAGACCTGACATTTTCATTTTGTATTTTAAGAAAAATCAGCATGAGTAAGAGCAAAAGTAAAGGCCAAGTGAAAACACACCCAGAGACATATACACAGGGGTGTGTGGCACCACCGCACTGAGCCACAGAAAACCAAGGAAACCAGCAGATCCTTCAAACCCAGGCATTCCCAGGACCTAGAGACCACGCTCAGGCTACTGAAGGTCAGCACCATTCGCCTGGCAAGGTGGCTGGGTGGACACCAGATGTGAGCCGAAGGTCCAGAATTCTCCCTGAATACTGATCTTTTGACACTAAGAATTCTATTGCTATTCCATTATACAAAGCTCAAACTTTTTCAGGAAGGAGGTAGTCTACAGAAAGAAATGTCTGCCTCACACACACAGCAAGGCGGAAACGCACACGCACAGAGATCAAGCACACGCTTCCTGGAATTCACTCATTTCAAGAAGAGAGCAGGTCCATCTACCCCCCAAGGCCTCATGGTTTCTTATTAACTTGCTCTGAGTTTTTTGCTTCTGTTTTTTTTAAGACAAGGTCTCATGTAGTCCAAGCTAGTGTCAAATTCATTATGTAGCTGAGGCTATCCCTGATTCTTGATCCTCCAGCTTCCACTTCCCAAGTGCTGGGATCACAGACCTCGCTACCACACCCAGCCAGAGTTTAAATGGTGCCCTTGGGCCCTTGGCACCCTGTGCTAAAACAGTAAATTATCAAATCTATCATCTGTCAAAACAAACCAATGGCTTTTCTCCTTTACCTCAAGAAGATAAAACTGGATGTTTTCAGAACTGCAAACATCTAGTTAGGTCAACTCTCAATATTTACTTAGTACACAAAATGAAAACCCACTAAGTTACTACAAAGTGCTGCCGCGGGTAATCCCAAATATGCATGCAAACTAAATATTCCGCCATGGGAGGGAAGCCCACTGCAGTGCCTGCTCCCCACACTCTGAGCACCACCTTTCGGCCCTACTATTGCACATCATGGGAACAGGACACTTAGATAACCACAATGAACCAGTAACAGGTCTCCAACTGCCGCCCTTCACCCAGCCAGCACACACTTCCATACGTAAGCATCTCTGCACTGGACAGCCAATGCTGTGCACCTGAAAGATGTCACTCTGCATCCGTGTCATTCTGAGCCTGCAGGTCCCTACGTCATTCCACTCTGGTCATGTCTGGGGTTTAATGGGTGGAGGGCAGGGCATGTAATTTAATTCAGTTCTGGACTGTAGAGTCGAAATTTTCAAGATTCTGTCGTGATATGGCCCTCAATTCAGACTGAGAGATCAATGTACCTGTGTGCACCTGACTCTGACTTACACACAGCATTTTATAGATGACAATCTGCAGATGAAGGTCCTAGTAATGAAAAGTAGTTCTCACTACTAATTTAACAGCCATATTCCTATGTATGAGAATGCCCAAATGCAATCTAATCTTCCTTCATTTAAAACATTTTTGGAAACAAGTAAGCACATCTTTATTTCCTGACCAGAATATTTCACTTTCAAGTCCACCTTCCTGACTGCACCTGAATGAATGCTGCTTCATCCTCTGACCTTAGGTTTAGAAGGAAGCCTGTAAAGTGCAGAGCAGAGTGGGTAAAATTAGCAAGAAGAAGAAGAGGGAGTCTGTCACTCTAGGTGTCTTCTAGCTGGAAAATGCCCCCACCTGTGTCTCAGGGTATTCAACTGAACTTTTTTTGCTTGCTTCTAATATTTAATTTTCAAACCCCAACTCTACTTCGGAAAAGTCATCATTTTCCAAGACGTGCTGCACAGAACCACACCACTCAGAGCAGACGAGAACGCTGTGCCCCAGGTGGGGTCCTGTGATTCCTACCGAAACCCACATTAAAACTGAGCTTTAAAGCCTTGCGTTTAAAAAGCTCAGGGCCAGGATCCATTGACAGGTTCAGACGAGATCAAGGGTAGAGCACAGACAGCCTCCCATGTGGGTAATGCTCTAATCCTCCTCAGAATAGGAATGATTCTCTCTCCCACTGTTAGGGAGTGGCCCCTTTTAGTCATTCAACAGAGCACACTTACTACTAAACATAGCATCAACTTCGTTTAAGTAGTATTTTTATCCTTTTGAGACAGTCTCACTTTATTTATAGCCCGGGCTGGCCCTCAACTCTTGGTGTTCTCCTCCTGCCTCAGCTTCCCAAGTGCTGGAATCACAGAAGCGGGTCATTATACACAGCTAACAAGTATTTCTTTAAATAACAGATTCTAAGCATACTTTTCCCCCTGGCCAAAGAGTCCTAACATCCAGGACCAGTAACTTTGTTCTGCGGCTTTCTTGCAAAACACAGCTGCTGAACCCCAAGAGACTAATTTTTTTGCACAAAGCTTAAACAAACAAAAAACAGCAGCAACAACAAAACACCTTTTTAAAAAAGAAGTGAGGCGGAGTTTGAACTCCAATTAAGGCATTTTTATACAGTCCAACTTTTGAGAATCCTGAAAAGGTTTTCAACAGGCAATGGGAAAATTATGACAGTCTATAAGAGCACTGCAGAACTATCCCTCATTTCAAACCATCCTGCTGGACATCTCTGTTTCTTAGTTCCTTGGTCTCTTAGTTCCCAACTGCACGGGTTATGTCTTCTGCAGGTCTGGAGAAAATGGGCCAGGAGTGGAAGGTCCATCCAGGCTAGACAGAGTGAATGGTCCATGACTGTTGAGCACAGAAGGAAACTGAGGAGACAAAAGCAGATCAGCATCCTATTACAACCTCTGCTTCCACTTTCTGTCCCTCCTATTCCCCAACGGCAGGACGAACACAAGACACGTCCTCTCACAGAAGACTACAATGCATTTCACGTGTGGGGCAGGGTGGGGTGGTACACACACAGGCACCATGGCAACAGTGTGATGTCAGAGACCACACTGTAAAGGCTGTTCTCTCCTTCCACCTCTACATGAGTTCCCGGGATCAGACAGGCTGCCAGACTTGCACAGCGAGTACTTTACCCACTGAGATATCTTGCAGGCCCAAAATATTATTGTGGCAAAGACATACAAACAAAAATTTCTTTGTCCTCCCAGAAGCTATTTGCAATCGATATCCCCGCTGGCAAAGGGAAAATCAGTCTTCTCCATGAACCGTTCCTGGGTACACCAACCATACTCCAGACCCCATGACAAGGAGTAATTGGCCAATACAAAACAGACTCCCTGGTTTTTGTTGTTGAGTTTTTTTCTTCTGTCTTATTGATCTATTTTTAGTTTTGTCTATTTGATTAACGTTTTTTTGGTTGGTTTTTTTTTTTGGTTGTTTTCCAGACAGAGTCTCACTCTGTAGACCAGACTGGCCTCGAACTCACAGAGATCCACCTGCCTCAGCCTCCTGAGTGCTGAGATTAAAAGCGTATGCCACCACCATTCAGCTTTCTGTTGGTTTTTAAGAGATAAACAGGCCATGTATTTATTAGATAGCGAGAGGTGGGGGAGAGAGAGAACATGTAGTTGTGTGGGTAAGGAAGTGAGAAGGACGTTGGAGGAGTTGGGGGAGCAGAAAGAATATGATCAAACTATATTGCATAAAAAATGTTTTTAATAATTTAAAAAAAAAACTGTGTTTGTCCTAACAATGTATAGACTAACTCTTTCTAATCTACCTTTACCCTAATGATCCTGATATAGACCTTCACATCTAACCTCAAAGGGTTAAGAAATTCATTAAATGACAATACTCATTACAGGGGATAGTAACAGGGTCAACCCTGAACTTTCAACAAGAAGTCCAGAGAGGCACAGTGATTACCAGATGCTAATCCTAGAAATAAGAGGCCCAACATTCTTAGAGCGCCTGCACAGCACAGGAGCAGCTTAAGGTTTCAGACTGCTCCACACTCCGCTTCTGGGGAGAACCACTCCCCAAATACAGAGAACTAAAAACAGGGAAAAAAAACCTCTCGATGCTCTTCCCATACAGTAACATCCAATAATTTAGGAATTGGGGGTGGGGGCAGAGGACACCGGTGATGCATATTCCACACAAGGCTCCAAACCCAATCCCCAGTATCACACCAAAAAACAAACAAACAAATCAGGCAGAAACGGACCGGCCTCAGGGTGGAATCTGGTGCTGGGACCAAATCCACAGCCTAACTACCACTGAGCTACTCAGACCCCAGTCCCTAAGATGTTGAAGTTTTTTTTTGTTTTTTTGTTTTTTGCTTTGTTTTGTTTTTCCTTTTTGTTTTGTCTTGCTTGTTTTTCGAGACAGGGTTTCTCTGTAGCCTCTCCTGGAACTTGCTCTGTAGACCAGGCTGGCCTCCAACTCACAGAGATATGCTTTTTTCTGCCTCCTGACTGCTGTTGTTTTCCTTTCTTAAAACAGGTGTCTGGCCAGGTAGTGGTGGTACACACCTTTAATTCTAGCACTCAAGAGGCAGAGACAGGTGGATCTCAGTGAGTTCAAAGCCAGCCTGGTCTACAAAGCAACTTCCAGGAGAGTCAGGAATGTTATACAGAAAAACCCTGTCTCAAAATAAATAAATCCCAGTGTCTGATTCTGTAGCCTAGTATCCCCTGCCGTTCAACATCCACTTTCTACGTCCCTCTCAGGTGCTGCCGTCATAGGCTTGTGCCATCACACCCAGCTCTCCTTATGATATTTCTATTTTTTACAGTATCAGGAACACGTGCCAGGCAAGGATGTCATCACTGAGCTATATATCCACATTCTTCCTTTATAATATTGAGATCAAGTCTCAAGAAGCTACCCAGGCTGGCCTTGAACTCTGCCTTTGAAGTACGTGAGATTACAGGCAGATGGCAGCAGATGTGGCCTTATTTTATTCTTGAAAGAACAAATGATTAATTATAAAACATAAGAAAAGTGCCCAGAGCCAATCACCCCAGAAGTAAATAAGCCAGCCAGAAGAAGGCCTGCCGTTTATAATCTAAATGCTTGGGGCAGGACAAAGGTGAGATCAGATTACTAAATGTTACTGAATGAGAAGAGCATTAAGTTTTGCAATATTTCATTTTTAATTTTCTTGTATATGAGGAGTGGTTCTCCCTGGGTGAGGGGGAGCATTAAGAGTGATCTGAAACCTCAATACAAGACCCTTCCTAATACCTTGGTGGGGAGATAATACAAAATTCAGTTCCTAAACTTCATAGTTAAAGTGCTGATACAGGCTGGGAGGATGGCTCAGCAGGAAAATGCTGGCATATATCAACTCTGAGAGGTAACTGATACAAGAGTCTCAAGATTTCCTCTTTAAAAAAAAGGGGGGGGGGCTGGAGAGATGGCTCAGTGGTTAAAAACACTGGCTGCTCTTCCAGAGGACCCAGTTCAATTCCCAGCACCCAAATGGCAGCTCACAACTGTCTGTAACCCCAGTTCCTAAGGGACCCAACACTCTCTCACAGATAAACATGCAGGTAAAACACCAACACAAATAAAATAAAAAGGAATAAATTACTTAAAAATTTTCAAAATGAAAATTATATTAAATGTAATTAAAAGTGGGAACCTACAAACAACTAATTAAATTTTAAAGAGAGAAATCTACGGGCAGAATCTACCCCTAGCATTGTACCAGAGTCAGGCAGAGCACATTTCTGTGAAGCTGAAATTTTCTATCAGCTAGTAACGTTATAGCTATCCTCGAGTCTTTGTGTAACACACTGCTCAGGTGCTTGTGTCAATCAGCCACTGCAGGGCTCCTTGCAGGAGAGTACCAGTGCAGCACACAGGGTTGTGAACTTAGTAGTGAAAACATCACTGGTTGATATATTTACTGTTCGCCATTATTACTTTAGTGTTCTCTTAGCACCAGCAGCCTTGGACTTAAATCTCAGTTTCCACTGTGTTTTTAGACAGGGTCACATTATCTTAGGGTGGCTTGGAACTATGTAGCTCAAGCTCACCGTGACCCTCCTCCCTAGTCTCCCAAGTGCTGGGATTACTCTGGGATTACAGGCGTGAGGTCCAGAATTATTCCTCACCTTGCACCTCACATACACACAGCATCACAGGCTATTCCATCATACATAAGTACAACATGATGACACAAAACAAAAACTACTCAATGATTCCTTTCTCAGAATATGTCCCTGTCAACAGTGGAACACGTGTGCTGCGGGGGACGAGGGGTACTGAGAATGAAAAAGTTTAAGCAGGAATGGGAATGGGAAGGAAGGAGGAGAAAGAAGGGAGTAGAAGATAAACCAAAACCGAAGTACTTTAAAATTCTTAATGGAATTTACTACTTTGTAAGATAATTAAAAAAATATTTTTTAAAAAAAAGTAGTTTGAATGAAGATACCTTGCATGGGTGAATAATGCTGTGCCCAGAAGTCATGGGCAATTAAACAAATTGCAGTGCCAAGCACAGGATACCTCCTTATGAGCTGTTGGCCAGGGAGTCCTCAGGAACAATGTAGGCTATTGCTACTGCTCTTGGTTGCCCACCTGTTGCTAAGACCTATTGCTAAAGACACCACGCACTTTGGTTGCAGGTCAGAGAAATCAAGCTGGCTAGCTTTCATAGTGCAGGAACATGGTATGTAGGCCTCTGGAAGAGAAGAGCCACCAGTGATATTATCTGGCAATGGATCTTACATGCTGAAATACTGACCTGCCAGACAACATGTGTACTGGTGCTACTGTACCATCAATATTATGAGAGTCACCAACCACTTTTGTTAATTAGACTTAAAGCCCACTTCACAGCTGAGAGTCCATGCCTAGTACTATAAATCTGGTCAAAGCCCATGGCTGGGGTGTTCATAGGCCTTAAAGGGACATAGTATTATTGTTTTGCTAAATGGACATGTTGTCAACCAGCCTTCTAAATACTTAACATTTTCAGCAAGTGATGAATGCAGCTCTCAACCCCCATAAGAGAAGCTTTTTCTTAAAAAAAAATTATATGTCTGTGTATAGGTTTGTATATGTGAGTGCAGGTGCCCAAAAGGGGGCTGGGAACTGAACTCCAGTCCACAGCAAGAGCAATGCACTCTCTTAAGCGCTGAGCCACTTCTCCAGCTCTAGAAAGGCTTCTTTTTGCAATAAATGATGGTTAATATTGACCCACACCAGAAAAGTGCAGCAAGTAAGTGTCTGTGGCATGGGATATCTATAGTAAACACACACATGCACGCACACACCCCAAGACTCAGGAAGCATTGTGATGGAGCGGACAGAGGATGGGAACAGTGCTGTGATGTACTTTTTTCTCAGTGTGACACGGTGTTTCAGTCATTAACTCACAGCAGCTCCAATTACTCACACTAGATCAAGCAAAATCAAGCAAGTCAACATTCCAGCACGGAGAGGAGAGGAGCTGTGACAGTTAAGAGCTGTTGACTGAGGAGGAGTCACTTTTCTTCAGGGGTGTAGCCCCAGATCCAGTAATAAGCCCAAACCCACTCATGCAAGGCAAGTAACCAAAAAACAAAACAAAACCAAAACCAAAAGACATAAACATAGGATGATGTGTTGTGAAGATGGATGAAGAAGGGTTCCAAAGAGAACAGAAGAAGGATAGATAAGCAAGGTTCTGTAGGTGTGTAGGTATGCAATTCCAATCAAAACTGCATTAAATGTGACCTCATACTGGCTTTGTATGTACACACATTAGTAGTATATGTACACAGACTGCCTGATTTACAGTGGTTTAACTTAACAGAGCACAAAAAATGCCATATGCATTCAATAGAAACTATACCTTGAACATCAGTATTTTTCTGGGCTAGCAATTTTCAGTATGAAAGTTTCTTGCTATGCTGGGCAGCAACTGAGAGCCACAGTCCCCCAATCACATACTGTACCACAAGGAAAAGCAAAGTACTCTGCAGTCGTGTGTGACAATGACATTGAGCACAACCCTTGCCCATTTCTGCAGTACACATCCCCCAATGACAAGAGGCACACCGTGTAATTTACCTGGAAAAGCGTATTAGCACCTTGCAGTCTGGCTGGGCTCAGGGGAGCAAATGGGCTGAGGGTACTCCAGAAGTGGATACTGGAGAGCAAGGGGCTCGGAGTCAGCAAGATGGGTGTCTGCAACACACAAGAAGATTGCTCAAGGACTTGATAGGATTGCTCAACCATTCCAAAGATACAAACAGAATCCACAGAATATGTCCTCCTCCCCAAACATCTCTAAAGCCCAAAATTTTATCATGATGAAAAGCTCAGAAATCCCTTTATAACATAGGAAAGGTAAAGGCCACAAAATCACTTTATAACCTAACTTTTACCTGGTCTTTCCAAACTAGAAAGCAAACCTAAATCCGGTACAAAAGAACAACAACCAAGTCCCTATAATATCAGACCATCTGGGGTGATCTTCTCCAAGAGCTCCCCAAGGTGACCAAGTTAATACATAATGTAACTAGGTAAGCACAAAGCCACACATTCCTTCTCTCAAGGCTCTCAGTCACTTGTTTTCTCTCTCCTAAGACAGCAACAGTTTTAAGGGAGTCTCAGATTTTGCTTTCTTTAGAAGGAGACGGAAAGCCTTGCAGATCAATGACTTCTGCTTATTTAAGCTCATGTAGCCCAGGCTGCTCTCAAACTGGCTATGTAGTCAAAGATGACCTTTAACCTCTGATCTTCCTGCCTCTACCTCCTGAGTACTGGGATTGCAGGTATGCAGCCCATGTCTGGTTTATTCAATGCTGGGGATGGAGCCCAGGGATCTGTGCATGCTAGGCAAGCAGTCCACCATCTGGGCTACATCCTCGGCCCAAGAACAATGAATTTTAAAAGATGAAATGGCAAATCTTTTTTGTTTTGCAGATTCTAGCTAAGGTAAAGTAATGAATTTCCCAGTTTATATATAACCTTTCTAAGACAGCCCTAATTAGCAGAAATTGAATTTTACAGGTATAAACTCTCAAGACAATTTAAAAAGTGAATAAACACAGTCCTGCTTTAAGAGGAAGAGCAAATTACCTGTGAGAAAAGTGCTGGTGTAAGAGACGCTGTTGGGAGCGATGGACTTAAGATCCCCAGAGGGCTGGGGTCACTGCCTGTGACCACAAGGGCAGGCGTCAGTTCTAACCCTTTGGGCTTCTTGGATCTTGATGAGTTATTTGTTTTGTCCTTTTCTGGCAAAGCTGAATCCTCATTTTTAGTCTCCAGTGACAAGTTCTCTGGAAGTTCCATTGGCTGAGAAGCCACTGAGTCGATGTCTGTGTCAATGTCTGGGTTAGAACTCAATGGCGGAGAAGGCGTCCTAGGAGGGGGTGCGGAGGGAACAGGAGAAGTGGGGTTAAAGGTGGTAGCCAGAATGGATGCAGAGGCTGGAGCTTCCAGAGAAGGTAGTGTGGGAGGAACCAGTGTCTCCAAAGCTTGGATAGTTTCTTCAGAAGACGGAGAAATGCTTGGGCTTGCTGAGAAGGTGATGGCAACAGGGTCGATGGGTGGCTTTTTAGCAGGTGTTGTTACAAATTTGATGACAGTTGGTGTTGGCTCCTGAGGTTTTTTCTCTGCCAGTTTTTCAGCTGGATTTTCTATCTTTATTGACTTGAAAAGCTTCTTATTGGAGGTGTTCAAAGAGTTGAGAGTAAATGAAGAATACAAACCAGAGTGTATGTAGTCATTCCGACTAGATGTCTTGGCTGTAGGTTGAGGTGCCCGTTCCTTTACCCCGCTCTCAGCATCTTTAGAACTGCTGGCTTCAATGGAAGTTAGAGTTTCACAGTCTCCCTCAATCCTGCCTACTGTCAGTGGATCCATTTTCAAAATCTCTGGATAAGAGACAAACTTGTACACAAACTTCTGACCATTCACTTTTTTAATGATGTTCTGTAGACAGAAAAGATAAACACACTTAAACTTACTAATAAATTTACATCTCACAATTCATGCAAAAGGGAACCTAATGAGTGCCCTATTTGAGAACTATGCATAGCTTTAAAAAAGCTTCAAAAGCATCAATATTCATCTACCCATGCCAAACACAGTACCTGCTCAGAGAAATTAAAGCAGTTCAAAGCCTCCTGAGCAACTGGATTAAGACAGCACATAGGAGCTGAGGCTGTGATTGTCTGACTCTCTCCATCAAACACCTGTATTAAATCAGAACTCACTGAACTCCAATCTCAAACGGGTCCAGTGGAGTAAACCATAAGCATTCTGAGGAAGCTAAGGGGTCTCAGAGCATGACCTTACCTCAGGAAGGCCAAAAAGGTCAGCTCCTGCAAGACGGAGGAAGCAACAGCTCAGACTTTTACTCTAAGTCCATTCTTTGGAGGTGTGTATTTTTCTCCAAGAAAATATTCAAAAGTCACAAGATAGTAAAAAATAAAATTCTGGGCTAGAGAGATGGCCCAGTGGTTAAGAGCATGAACCTGAGCTCAGTTCCCAGACCCACGTCAGGTAGCTAACAACTGTTGGTAACTCCAGTTCCAATGGGGGGCGATGCCCTCTTCTGGCACCTGGGGGCACTGTATGTACATGACACACAGACATTCAAGCCTGATTACCTGGATTTGATCCCTGGGACACCCATGATGGGAGGAGAGAACTAACAAGTAGTCCTCTGACCTCCACATGGGTACCGATGAAGATAATATTTAAAAACTTTTAAGGAATCTGTCGGAATATAATCAAAATCACTTAAGTTGTTAAATAAACTGAGCTAAGTAAGCCACAGTAGTACTCAACACCTTGTTTTGAGGTTCTCTGTATAGTGTCAGGGTCAGGGCAGGTGCTTACCTTTACATAGTAGTATCTCAGGGCTCTGCTGAGCTTATCATAATTCATATTAGGCTTGTTCTTGCGAATTCCCCAGAGACGAGCCACCTCCTCAGCCTGCAGAAGCTTGAACTCCCCATTGTTAGATGTCCAGCAGATCATGTGCTCATTCTGAGGTTCCTGCAGGAGCTGAAGAAGGAACTGCCACAGAGTGATGGCACTGTCCATAGCAATGGGCTGGAAGAGCATACAAATAGGGGAGACAGTTACTTAATGCCAACAGGCATCGTGTTAAGTGTTCTAAGTGCCCTGCACAACACTCCTGCAAGATACATACTACTCCACCATCATTCCACACGTCAAAAGGGAGATTAACACTGGGCTAAGTATCTTGTCCAAGGACACACAGCAAATGCTAACACTAAGACTTATGCCTAGGAAACCTGAATCCAGAGCTCACATTCTTAGATAAGCTATGCTACTTAGGTTTTGTTTCAACAGTGTCTCCTGTATGGCCTTGGCTGGCCTTAAACTCACAGTTCTCCTGTCTCAGTCAGTCAAGCACTAGGATTAAATTATGTACCAGCTCCCTTAAGAATCTTTTTAAAAATATTTTATTTTGAATTATGTGCATTATGCGTGTGTCTGTGTGTGTCTGTGTGTGCATTTGTGGACATGACAGTGTCCCACAGGGGCCAAAAGGGGTTGTCAGAGCCCCTAGAGCTGGATGGAGTGCTTGACATGAGTGTTGGGAACCAAACAAGTTCCCAAAAGCAGTATACACTCTTAACAGCTGAGCCATCTCTCCAGCCCTCAGCTTCACAGGTCTTAAGCATGGCTGGGTATGGCTCAGCAGCATACCCAGTGCATGCAGGAGGCCTTGGGTTCCATCTCCAGCATGACAGGAAAAAAAAGTTACCTCCAAACAAGCAGCTTCCAAGGAAAATAAAACTGGTTGCATAAATGATAGGAGTGAGCTAAAGACTGGAAGTCAACAGAGGGTCAGTTCTTAACTTTTACCTTCAGAGTCTCAGAAGACCACCATTTCAGTGTCTAGCTAAAAGCTCACTGCGCTTATCTGACAAGATGTGTGTCTAGGAGGCTGAGGTGGAGGGAACAATTTGTTCCTAGTCCAACTGGTATTTCTCCTCTAAACAGTAAGCACCATGGCAGGGTAGTTTACATATAAATTGGCAATGCTGAGAAGTCAACAAAATGTTCCCCAATTCAATCTGCAAGGTCTGTTACCACAGCCTACAGAGTTTCTTCTATTTAATTAGTGATCAGGACAGGAACAGAAGGAAAAGCCTTCAATGTTGGGGTCTTCAGTTGCACCGTTCTCAATTCCAGCTAGCCTGCACTGGAGCCGGTTAACGCTGTGCTGTGGGACTGTCCAGCACACTGCAGCTGGCTCCACAGCTCCCTGGCTTCTGCCCACGAGACATTAGTCCCCTTGCCACTGAGACTGCAATCAAATCATCCCAGCTGACAACCACTCTCCTAGACAGCACTCAGAAAGGTGGTGCTCTCACAGGGACATTTTCCAGACAGAACTTCAAGGGAAGAATTCCTTACACAGCAGCTCTGACCAGATCAACATACGATTACTCACATGAGACAAAGTGACTGAACATCTTCATAATAAAATCAGAAAAAAACCTCGTTCTCTAGGAATGAAATCCCAGCAGGTCAGAAGAGGGTTTGAAGACAGGCGAGTTCTACTGAAACACTACACAGACAGGCAAATTGAACTACATCAAAACTGCAAACTGTGCTGTGCCAGCAAACAATCCCCCCTGTATGTTCTAACCCCAAAACACTCTCACAAATCATGTGTCATAAAAGGAATTTGAACCCGAAGCAGGTAAACAATTCTTATAGCATAAAAAGAAAAGCCGGGTACTGGAATCTCTCCACAGAAAAGCTGGAAATAGCCAATAAGCTCTCGGAAAGATCTCCCCATCATTAAGAATAGGGACTGGAACTCAAAAACAAGCAAAACCCACCGTATGCCTCCTGTAACCAGAAAGAGCAACAATAAGCTGACGAAGATAGAAACTGAAACTCACACGTTGCTGGTAGAAATATTAAATGCAATTCCGCTATAGCTAAGTTTACCACATGACCAGGTACACGTCTAGATGGAAACAAATGTCCACAGAAGAGCTACATGGTAGCACATACCTTTAAGTCCAACTCTAGGAGGCAGAAGCAGGCAGAGTTCTGTGAGCTCAATGCCAGTCTGTTAACATAGCAAGTTCTAAGCAGCCAGAAATGCATTGCAAAACTGTCTCAAAACAAAAAACAAAACCAGAAATGTTCATAGCAGATTTTAATCATAAATCATAAGCATAGAATCAATTCAAATGTTTATCCAACTTATGATTGGAATAATAAAATACAATATAGTACATAGGTTGCAGTATTATTCAGCCATTAAAAGAAACCAAGAGTACAAGATTAACTCAAAAAAATCCGTAGCCCTCTTTTACACAGATGATAAATGGGATGAGAAAGAAATCAGAGAAACATCACCCTTCACAATAGCCACAAATAACATAAAATATCTTGGAGTAACTCTAACCAAACAAGTGGAAGACCTGTATGACAAGAACTTAAAATCTTTGAAGAAATTGAAGAAGACACCAGAAAATGGAGATTTCCCATGCTCTTGTATAGGTAAAATTAACATAGTAAAAACGGCAATCTTACCAAAAGTAATCTACAAATTCAATGCAATACTCATCAAAATCCCAGCAAAATTCTTCACAGACCTCGAAAGAACAATACTCAACTTCATATGAAAAAGAAAAAAACCCAGGATAGCCAAAACAATCCTGTATAATAAAGGAACTTCTGGAGGCATCACAATCCCTGACTTCAAACTCTACTACAAAGCAACAGTACTGAAAACAGCCTAGTATTGGCAGAAGAACAGACAGGAGGACCAATGGAACCGAACAAAAGACCCAGATATCAATCCACACATCTTCGAACACCTGATTTTTGACAAAGAAGCAAACATATATATATATATATATATGGAAAAAAGAAAGCATATTCAACAAATGGTACTGGTATAACTGGATATCACATGTAGAAGAATGAAAATAGACCCATATCTATCATCATGCACAAAACTCAAGTCCAAACGGATCAAAGACCTCAACATAAAACCAACCACATTGAACCTCAAAGAAGAGAAAGTGGGAAGTACACTTGAAAGCATTGGCACAGGACACTAATTCCTAAATATAATCCAGTAGCACAGTCACTGAGAAAAAACAATAAATGGACCTCTTGAAACTGAGAAGCTTAATTTAAAGCAAAGGACACGGTCAACAAGATAAAACGGCAACCTACAGAATGGGAAAAAAATCTTCAACAACCCCACATCGGACAGAGGGCTGATCTCCAAAATATACAAAGAACTCAAGAAATTGATTATCAAAAGAACAAATAATCCAATAAAAAAAAATGGGGTACAGACCTAAATAGAGAACTCTCAACAGAGGACTCTAAAATGGCTGAAAGAGACTTAAGGAAATGCTCAACATCCTTAGCCATCAGAGAAATGCAAATCAAAACAACTCTGAGATTTCATACACCTGTAAGAATGGCCAAGATCAAAAACACTGATGACAACTTATGCTGGAGAGGATGTGGGGGTAAAGGGAACACTCCTCTATTGCTGGTGGGAATGCAAGCTGGTACAGGCCCTTTGGATGTCAGTGTGGCGATTTCTCAGAAAATTAGGAAACAACCTTCCTCAAGATCCAGCAATACCACTTTTGGGTATATATCCAAAGGATGCTCAAATGTACTACAAGGACGTGTGCTCAACTATGTTCATAACAGCATTGTTTGTCATAGCCAGAACCTGGAAACAACCTAAACACCCCTCGACCGAAGAATAGATAAAGAAAATGTGGTACATTTACACAGCGGAGGGTGGGGGTGGAATCTTGAAATTTGCAGGCAAATGGATGGATCTAGAAAACATCATATTGAGTGAGGTAACACAGACCCAGAAAGACAAATATCATATGTTCTCACTCATAAGTGGCTTTTAGACATAAAGCAAAGGAAAACCAGCGTACAATTCACAATTCCAGAGAAAATAAACAAAGAGGACCCTAAAAGAGACATGCATGGATCTAATCTATATGGGAAGTAGAAAAAGACAAGTCTCCTGAGTGAATTGGAAGTGTGGGGATCATAGGAGAGGGTAGAAGAGTAGCGGGGAGGAAGAGAGGAGAGTGGAGAAAAATATATAGCTCAATAAAAACAATTAAAAAGAAAAGATTTGTCTCATATGATCAGAAAACACTGCAGATGTTTAGTAAAGCCAGGTCTGGATGCAGAAAAACCTCTAAAAAGGTACAGTATGAGCCAGGTGGTGGTGGCGCACGCCTTTAATACTAACACTCGGGAGGCAGAGGCAGGCGGATCTCTGTGAGTTCGAGGCCAGCCTGGTCTTCAAGAGCTAGTTCCAAGACAGGCTCCAAAGCTATAGAGAAACCCTGTCTCAAAAAAAAAAAAAAAAGTACAGTATGTTTAAAAATGTGCTTTAGTTGCTGAAGAAAATGCATATAGACTGTCATTGAAAAAAAGTAAATAGTTTATAAATAGCAAAATAAAGTCTTTAAAGAGAGTAAAGTAATAAAAAAACATAGCCATGTAAAGATGGGAAATACAGTATGTCTGGATCCTGTATGGTGCTTTGTTGACTTTCAATTTTTTAAATGGTAATGTACAAAAACAATAGCTGCTGTGAGACACTGGATTGTAGAAACTGCTAAATTAAACACACATATATATATTTTTTTTTTAAACGAATCAAGAGGGGCAGAAAGATGGCTCAGTTATTAAAGCACTTGCTCTACAAGCATAAGGGCTGAGTTCAAATTCCCAGAATCTACATAAAGCAGCAATGAACATCTGTAACCCCAGTGTCCAGGGAAATGTGAGTAGACAGGAGAATCCCTACAAGCTCAGGGCAGTTGGCTGGAATACATGGTGGCAGAACAACGAGACACTGTCTCATACTGTCTCATATGGAAGGGGACAGCTAACACTGGAGGCTGTCCTGGTACATTATGTTACACACATACACACAACACACACAAAACATGAACTCACATACAAAGATAAAAACACTATTAAGTTAATAAATGACTCTGAATAAAAGCACTTGCTATACAAACATGATGCCTTAGGGTTTCTATTGCTGTGAAGAGACACTATGACCACAGCAACTCTTATGAAGGAAATATTTCATTAGGTGGCTCGCTTACAGTTTCAGTTTGGCCCATTATCATCAGAACAGGGAGTATGGTGGTGTGCAGGCAGATGTGGAGCTCGTAGCTGAGAGGCCTACACCTTGCAGGTAGCAGGAAGTTGACTGACTCACTGAGCAGTATCCCAAGCATAGGAAACCTCAAAGCCCTCCCCCATAATGACACACTTCCTCCAACAAGGCCATACCACTCCAACAAAACCACACCTCCTAATAGTGCTACTCCCTATGAGATTACAGGGGCAGTTACATTTGGACAACCACATCTGACAACCCGAGTTTGTTGTGAAGAACGCACAGTGGAAGAAAGGAACTGGTTCCTCATAGTAGTACACACACACACACAACACACACATACACACACACAAAACACTTTTCAAAAAAAAAAAAAGGAAAGGGAAGGGAAGGAAAGAAGGAAGGAAGAAACCAAGTACTGACACAGCACAGACGAACCTTGAAAACATCACAGAAGTGAAAAGCACCAGCCACAGAGGGCCAATGAGTGGCTCCAGTGATATGAAATGTTCAGACCAGACCATTCCACAGACCAAAGGGAGATCAATGTGGCTGAGCCAGCTGAGGGAGACGGAGAAGCATCAAGTGGAAGGAGCAGTGGGGAGAAAATTGGAGAATGAAAGCTGATGAGCACAGGCTTCTTTTTGGGTGGCTGAAAACGTTCTCAGCCAAGATTGTAGAGATTCCGTTCTGTGTGGATTAAAAAGCACTCAACTAAATGCTCTCGGCAGGTGATGCCACTCTCAATGAAGATGTTTAAAACAAACAAACCTAACGTAACCAACATTACAAAATCTGGGCATGAGAAGACCAAGCCAAACAATACATAACTCAGAGGACGGATGAGTGAGCAGCAACCAGGAAAATGTCTGGGTTTTTAGAACTGCTCTCTAGCACGAAAGCGCCTTTCTTTCATCCTTAGCTACCAGTTTTGATGCTGTCTGTGCAGGCACTGCGATCCAAAAGTAGAGACAGTAAAATAGAAGAGAGATGCCTCCCACAGTCAGATCTGATGAAGTGAGACAGGAATCCCAGGCTCCTGCATCAGTCAAGCACTCCTCCAGGCCTGAGAAAAGCTGCTTCTCCATCCAGCCACAGCCTTGCCAGCATTAAACACCAGAGACTACAATACCAACCCACAACGAGCTCCTTTCATGCTAAGTAACCAGCCCACTAGACACGGTCCCCACAGCTTCACTTGAGCAAGAGTTGAAATAGTCATTATCCATTAAGAGTGGCAGGGAAGGGCATGATCCGTCATTGTTTTGAGTTTCCCAAACAGACCTTTATTTTTTTTTATTTTGATGTCTATTCTTATAACAATTCTTATATCTATTCTTGTTCTTTTTATTAGTAGTTTCCCAATTTGGGCAATTATATTCTAGTCCAGCCAATTAAAACTACGCCAATAAATAGGAGCCTAAAGGAAAAACATATTTCAGACATTACCATCACATCAAGAATGTCTGTAGGAGCCTTGCCTGGTGGTGCATGCCTTTAATTCCAGCACTCAGGAGGCAGAGGCAGGTAGATCTCTGTGAGTTCAGGGCCAACATGTTCCAGGACAGCTGATCTATTACAATAAACTTGTACGCCTCACCATTTGGGAAGCAGAGACTCAAGAGATCAAGGCCACCCTGACCTGTATGAGACCATGCCTCAAGACAGTAAAAACACAACACCAAAAATGTGTAGTGCTGGGGATCAAACCCAAGATTTCACACAGGAAACATGGGCTTGACTACTGAGCTACAATTCTCAACCCATAATTCAATTTCTGTGTCAAGTTCTTCTTTTAATGAACTCCTAACTAGACAGTAGAAATTCTTCACTTTAGTTCCTACAAGTATGATATTAATTATGAACTTCAATGATTTCCTCAACTGTAATAGGAAACCGGGCTTGGCATGCCGACATACACCTTTAATCCCAGCACTCTGAGGCAAAGGCAGTTGGACCTCTGTGAGTTCTTAGCTAGCAGTCTATACAGCGAGTTCCAGGCCAGCTAGGGCTACATGAGATGCTGTCTCCACGTGAAACAGGCCAGGTGCATGATTATAATCCTGGCTCTCCTGACCATGAAGGAAGCATGGAGGGCTGTGTGTATGGCATATCGACAGACAGGAACAGATACACAATTCATGAACAAAGACAGAGTCTAATTAACAACAGTTAATGCTTTAAAGGTTGTTTGCTGTTGTTGTTGTTGTTTTTCGAGACAAGGTTCCTCTGTAAAACAGCCCTGGCTGTCCTGGAACTCACTTTGTAGATCAGGCTGGCCTGGAACTCTCAGAGATCTACCAATAAAGGCGTGCGCCCCCAGAGACCGGCCAAAGGTTTTTTAGAAATATAACAAAGGCAGACTTAAATGGATCCAACTGAAGGAATCTGATCGTTGACAGGTTAAATGCTAGAGAAGGTTTAACACTCAAAGACCAAGCTCTAAGCTACACGCAAAGAAAGGACTGGAGGGGGGCTGGAGAGCAGCCCAGCAATGGAGCGCCTGTCTAGCATTCTTGAGAACAAGGGTTAGATGGTTAGCACCGCACATAGGCAATGAAAGCTGCTGCTAACTTCACCAAGGAGTGCAAGGAAAAAGAACAGGTGACCCTGGGGTGCAGATCAGCTGATGAACACCTGATACAGGCTGGGGTTTGGGTACCCAACACAAGGAAGGGAGGGAGAGAGAGCACAAAGATGAGTGCGAGTCACAGGATCCTACGGAGAGGATATTAAATGTAGATTTCCCTCCTTTTGGGGGGGGGGGGCTGGTGATTGAGTAGCTATCACTCAGGACATTCCCAGACTCAAATATATAATGGTATCCCAAAACTTAAAGTATTTCCCAAAAAATATAATGAACTCCACGTAAGCAGTTCCCACTTTTAAATAAAACCAAGGATCAAGGAACAAAGAGTCCCTACGGGGGAAAGTTGAACCATACTGTTTTAACGAAAATACCACCGCCCGCTGGGAATACAGAAGCTTCAAGTTCTGTGCGCGGGGAGAAAGGAAAAGATTTCTGACCCTAGAACGACACACAGGCAGCCGTTCTGCTGAAGGAATCTTACTTAAAATGACCTAACCTTCAAATTGCAACAGCTCGAGAAAAAAAAGCCAACTGTGTCTTCTGACTTCACCCAAGAAATTCCCCTTATTTCCTGTGGATGCTTGTTAAGGTTCCTCGCCCAAAAGATGTTTCCAATGCTGTTCGGAGGAAAGGCTTGCCACAGCTGTACAGTAAGCGAGGAGGGTTGCTGAAAAGGAAAGAAAGAAAAAGCCGTGGCCGGATAGACAGCGGGCTTGGGGAAGGAAAGAACGAGGGTGAGGCGGCACATCCAGAGATCAAAGTGCGGGGAGACGCAAACCTCCGGCCCGTGGGCGAGCCAAGAAAGTACTTTCACTTTCCAACTTCCTGCCACTGCAACAAGTTAAAACTGTTCCCCTCCACCCCACCCAGGCAACAAAAACCGCTGCCTTCCGCCTAAGGGACTTCTCACAACCCACCGTGGTGCGGGAAGGGCGGAGGGGGGCGCTCCGGCGAGCACCTGAGCGCCGCGGAGCAGCTCCCTAGGCGAGCGCACCACCAGGCCCCGCCCGCAACAGCCAAGCCCCGCCCTCTCCGCCGCCCGGTCCCGCCCCCACCGCCACCGCCGCCGCCGGGCGCATTTCCTGCCGCGCCCGCAGCCCCCGCCCGGCCCGCGCAGAACCGGGCTGAGGGGCGGTGGTGCGAGACCCCGGCGGGGAGTGGGTGTGCCGCTCACCAGGCCGTGCGCGCGGGAATCCTCCACGGCCTCGAACGCGGTGCTCGACTCCGACCGCTCCTCACGCTAGGAACTCAAGGACGGCGCAGCAACCGCGGCGACCCCCGCGCCGGGGCCCGAGAAGGCGGCGGCGGCCGAGCCGAGCCAGCCGCGTGCCTGCAGCCGCCCGCATCTCCAGCCGCCGCTGGTCTCGAGCCCCGCCCTCCGCCCCCGCACACGCGGCTGGGGCGGCGATGTGGTTAGTTGGGCTGCCACTCGCCAGACCCGCGCTCTACGGCCCGGATCCCCCGTCACTCCGCGGCCGCCGCCACTCTCAAACCCCCCCGGCACTGCCGGGGCCCTTCCTCGACGCCGTCGCCTCGCGTCACTTCCGGGGGAGGGGCCGAGCCCCGAAGCCCGTATTTTGTTTCTGGCCCTGGGCTCGCGTTTGCACCCTATTAGGCCGTCCGGTGCCCTCGCTCTGGGGCCTCCAGCTCGGCGGGACGTTCGTCCTTCCCCGCAAGCCCAAAGTCGGGCCTGGGACGTCAGGGTCGCAGCTTGCAGAGAGCTCGGTGACAGCGGAATTGACGTGTGAGGGCGACGCCCTCCGCGGAGCCTCCACCACCCCTTGATCATTATCATTGACAAACAGCCTCTCTAGTGCTGTGGGAAAAGCTTTCCGGTTTACCAACTGTGCTAGTTCCAGGACTTCAAGTGACTTTATTTTTATTTTTGTTGAGAGAGCGTTTCAACACGTAACTCTTGCCGGCTTACACGCACAAAAGATTCGCCGCCCTCTACCTCCTGAGTGCCAGGATTACAAATGTGTACCACCTTGCCTGGCCTAAGTGACTTTCATTAACGAATATAAATAAGGCCTGGCGGAGGTGGCGCAGGCCATTAATCTTAGCACTCAGGAGGCACAAGCAGGTGAATCTCTGAGTTCCGGAACTGCCAAGGCCACACAAAGAAACCCTGTCAAAAAAAAAAAAGAAAGAAATTGAAACGCCAGTTAATCGTCTGTAAGGTGACTGAGAGAACCGAGTCTTAAAGTTGTAACTACTAAAGAAGGGGTGCAAAAGTCACTGCCGAATTCACAGGTTTGCAATATGGGTCTCAATATGTTCGAATTCTAAAGGCTGAGGCGGTTAAGAGCTCCAGGCTAGCCGGGCTGCACACTGAGACCAAGTCTCCCCTACCCACCAAACAAATGAGTGTGTCTGTTATTTACTTAGGCTTTTTGAGACAGGGCTTCTGTAGTTCACACCTTGAACTCTCAGCAATTCTGTCTCTGCATCTTCAGTGCTAGGATGATAAGGGCAAGCAACCAAGCCGGTTCATAGAAATTTGCTTTGTTTTTGGAAACAAGATTTCATGAAGTCCATGCTAAGGTTGACATTGAACTCCTGATCCCGTGTTTTCTACCTCCCAAGTGATGAGATTATGGACTTTCAACACCATGCCCAGTTTCATGTGTATATTTTTAAAAATATATCAACGTGATTTTATTTTATTATTTTATCTTTGAGAATTTCATACATGCACACAGTGTATTTCAATCATATTCACCTTCCCTCACCATCCAACTCCTCCCAGATACCCCATGTGCCCCTTTCAACTTGATGTCTTCTTTTTCTTGTTGCTTGTTAAATAACCCTGAGTCCAGTTAGTGTTGCTCATGTATGTACAGGTGTGAGGCCATCCACTGGGACACCGTCATCAACCAGGGACCCATTCCTAAAGAAAACTGACTCTTTCTCCAAGCAATCATCAGGAGCCAAGAGCTCTTCAGCTGGGGGCAGGATTTCTATTGCTATTCGTACTGGAATGTTGGCTGCTAGCTCTTGTACCGATCTTTTCACAGGCGACCATGGCCACTGTGGATTCATGAGTGCAGAGGCAAAGGTCATGCTCAAGAGTACAGTCATCCCAGATGTCTGGCTCTTACATCATTCCACCTCCTCTTCCTCAGTGCTCCCTGAGCCTCACTCGGGTGGAGGTGACCTGATAGAGATGTCCCGTTTATGACTGAGCACTTTGACCAGTTGTGACTCTATATATAACCTGCTGTGCGTGGCAAAAAAAGAAGCTTCTCTGATGAGGGCCAAGAGTTGCATTAATATCTTGGTTTAATGATAAGTATTTACAGGGCAGTTTGATACTGTGTGCATTTAGCAAAATTCCCATAGAAGCAGATTCACTTCTAGACCTATGATCTCTCTAGCTACTGGATCTTGGCCAAATTTACAGTACCAGACTGTCGAGTTACCTCCTGTAGAGTGGCACTTAAACCAGAAAGTAGTTGGTTGCTTCCATAATATTCATGGCACTATTGCACCATTGGTGCGTCTGGCAAAGCCAGTTGTCACTGTAGCTCACAGGGCTCACTGCTGGGTAAGACTTGATTACTTTTCATTCACTGCTGGGTAAGACTTGATTACTTTTCTTCCCCAGACACCTGCACAGCCCCTCCCAGTATTGTGAAAGCTAATCAACAAAGAGGAAACTTCCGAGTCAGTACCTGCCCAAGGAAACCGGAAGAGAGTGTCCGATCCTGGATCCCCTGGAGCTGGACTTACCAGCTGTTGTGAACCACCCACATGGGTGCTGAGAACTAGCTAGGTCCACTCTTAACCACTGAGCCATCTCTCCAACACGCCATAGCTATTCCTAAGGAGCCAAGTCACACTTGTTTCAGGAAACCACTTGAAATAGCAGCCAAAGAAATGTAGGGCCATTAATAAACTGTGACTGCTGAAAAACTCTGAAGAAATAGATTGTGATCTTATGTTTAATGGGTTGCCAGACAGGTCAGTGTCTGCATTACTGGTTTTCCTGGCTGTTTGCTAGCTGGGTTGCTTTTGATAAGCTGCTCAACTTGTCTGATCTTTTTAGTTCATGCATATTGTCAAGAGATGGTAATGTGCAGCATCAGAGAGGGTTAAATGAAGACCATGACTTCTCGATGCTACAAAGTGGACACTCCGTAAATGGTGACATCATTTCTTTCTCCCTATCATTTCTCTCCCACGGTTGAACTCAGGATAAAGTTAATTGAGCATACCGCATGACTGCAACCCTATCATCCCTCTAAATTTTTGGAAGATAATCATTCCTGTCTCTCCAACCTTTCCCATAACACCTGGTAACTAAGCCTGTAAGACCAACTTGACCAAAAACTGTGAGTTTTTCAAAAACTAATTTTGGAGTTGAGTATGGTGGCACACGCCTGTGATCCCAGCACTCAGGAGCAGAGGCAGGAGACCCACAAACGAGACCAGCCTGTTCTGTATAATGAGGTCCAGACCAACCAGGGCCGCATAGGGAATCTCTGTCTCAAAACAACAAAACCGAAACAAACCCAAAGCCTAACTTGGGCAAGCTAGGCATGATGGTGCATGTCTGTAACCCCAGAGGCACAGGAGAAGGTCTGCAAAACTGAGGTAATCCTGGGCTTCAGAGAGAGTTCTTAGTCCACTCTGGTCTACACAGCAAGACTTCTCTAAACAGACCTAAAAAAAATTCCCCAAAGGATGTAAAATATTTTAATTCAGAAATACTTGTTTAAGCCTAGTGTGGTACACAGTCATAACACCAACTACTTGTAAACCTGAGGCAGGAGGATGACAATTTAGAGGCTTGCTTAGGAGATTTAGTTGAGACACTGTCTCAAAATAAATTTTCCACAAAGGGAATATAGCTCAATGGTAGAGCACACATTTAATGTGAGTGAGGTCTTGAATTCTGTCCCAGGTATTGAGAGAGAGAGAAGCCAGGCGGTGGTGGCGCACACCTTTAATCCCAGCACTCAGGAGGCAGAGGCAGGTGGATCTCCATGAGTTCGAGGCCAGCCTGGTCTATAAGAGCTAGTTCCAGGACAGGCATCAAAAAACTACAGAGAAACCCTGTCTTGAAAGTCCAAAGAGAGAGAGAGAGAGAGAGAGAAACACAATATCTGAAAAGCATTGTCATCTTGACCTCTATTCTAATTTTTTCCCTCTAACAACTTCTTAGAAACTAAAAGGAAAACTACGGATCATGAAGGTAGAGGACAGTTTGAATATACCCATTGGGAACATTCACTTCTGGAAAAGTGTGACTTAATTCACTTAAAGCACCACAGCGGGGGCTGGAGAGATGGCTCAGTGGTTAAGAGCATTGCCTGCTCTTCCAAAGATCCTGAGTTCAATTCCCAGCAACCACATGGTGGCTCACAACCATCTGTAATGAGGCCTGGTGCCCTCTTCTGGCCTGCAGGGGTACGTGTAGGCAGAACATTGTATACATAATAAATAAATAAATAAATAAATAAATAAATATTTAAAAAAAAAAAAAAAGCACCACAGCAAGAGCAGTGAAGGAGGATGGAGACCTGCAGATGTCCCTGTTGCTCCTGGACCAACAGGAAGCATCTGGTTCAGCCCGAGGCCAGAAGCTGTGTCACAGCCCTTTTATACCGAGTTTATAGTGCTATCAATTACAATGTATTTTATACCGAGTTTGTAGTGCTATCAATTACAATGTAGTTTTGGAGAAAGCCTACTTTGGGAGTTCTGACATTAGTCATAGCAAGCCTGTCTGCTTTTAAATCAACTTTTTTTTAAATATTTATTTTATTTATTTATTATGTATACAATATTCTGTCTGTGTGTATGCCTGCAGGCTGAAAGAGGGCACCAGACCTCTTTACAGATAGTTGTGAGCCACCATGTGGTTGCCGGGAATTGAACTCAGGACCTTTGGAAGAGCAGGCAATGCTCTTAACCACTGAGCCATCTCTCCAGCCCCTCAACTTTTTTTTTTTTTAATGCTGTACATGTTGACAGAAACTGGGGAAAGTGAATTTCCAATCAGAGAACTAGACACTGGAGGACTCAGCAATGCACCTGGCTTCCACCTCAGGAATCTGCAGATAGTGGCCCTCTACTGTTTCTTACAGAGCACATGGGTCTGTTTTTGCCAAACCTCATGGTGATTGGTCAACCAAAACTACTGCTGCTTTGTTATCTGTCTCTTCATTTTCCACTGTAGATGTAGGTCCAGTCTTACCCTACCTTCTCAGGGCCACCTCAGTGCACATGAGTGGATGTTACTAGAACACACCATGTCTCCCCGTCCCTCAGTTGTTTGTCCTGGCACCCATCTCAGCCCAGGGAGCACCGCTTGATTGACCTTTGCTATCCCAGAAACACCTGGTCAGGATCATTCTTCTTGAGATGGTGTTCCTCCCTTCGTTTCTATTTCACTGCCCTGTTGTGACCCCAGTTAGTTTCCTTCTTCTCTAAAGTCATGTCTCCTTGAGTCTAGCTGACAGAAGTAAACAGGGAGGCCGGGTGTGGTGGCACACTCCTTCAGTCCCAGCACTGAGGAGACAAGCAGGTGAACCTCTTCCGGTT